GCCATTGCTGCCAGTGCCGCTGCTTCTCCACACACCTCCATAGACGGAGGGGGGTGCCCCCCACCCTACTAAGGGTGGGTACCCATTTATCTACTCGCCGATAGTTACTTGGCTTTCGAACCGCTGGGTGGGCGGGAGCTAGGACTAAGGGTCGAGAGCTCACCTCGACCACGGTGGGACTCGAACAGGTGCTCGAGTAGATGTTAAATGCAGGTGTTATACTCCCTGCGCCACCGCTCCCTTATTTATGACATGTGATGACATAAATCACATTAGAGGATGAGCAGGAGTATGAACCTGAGATGGGATGGCTGATGTTGCTGGGTCCACTGATGGTGTTGCTAGGATCTATATGAGAGCAAAGTTGGCATCTTGGTTTGTTCCAGGCTTAGGTACCAGAGTCCATGTTACTGTTAAGTAGTTTATCATTGTGGGTGAGAGTTGTTTTAGGTTAGCAGGCTGTCCGTAAGCAAGAAAAGGTCGGCCCCCAGTACCTGTGTGAGGGAAGTGTTATTATCCAGCATGGGTTGTAGGTCATTAACAATGCATTGAATTGGCTTGAGTTCAGAGCTGTAGATGACTACCAGTGATGTTCTGTTGTCATTTTCTTTGGGCTTGTCTTGTAGAAAGCTGCCCCTGGGTATCATTCTGGCCTTTCCAGTTATCTTTCTCACCATATCAGGAGGATATTGTAGTTGCAAAAATGCCTGTTGCAGATCATTCAATTGAGTATCTCTGTCTGAGGGTTTGGAGCAGATGTAACTATAGTGTAGGGCTTGGCTATACACTATAGATTTTTTAATCTGGTTGGGTTGGTAGCTGGAGGTATGTAGATATATTTGCCGATCTGTTGGTTTCTGGTATAATGTGGTGTTTATGTGTCCCTCGTGTATCTGTACTGTTGTGTCCAGGAAGTTTATTTCTTGTGTAGAGCAATTCATAGTTACACTGATGGTGGGGCGGAAGTTGTGGAAAGCCTGGTAAAATCTCTCAAGAGCTTCTTTACCATGGTTCCAGACAATAAAATTGTCATCAATGAATCTCAAGTAAAAGAAAGGGTTTCAATGGGTAGGAGTTCAGAAAACGATGTTCTAGATCCACCATGAAAACGTTGGCATACTGTGGAGCCATGCGGGTGCCTGAGAGCCAGTTTGGTGTAGTGGTTAGGAGCACAGACTCTAATCTGGGAGAACTGGGTTTGATTCCCCACTCCTCCACATGCAGCTGTTGGTGTGACCTTGGGTCAGTCACAAGTTCTCTGAGAGCTGTTCTCTCCGGAGCAGTCCTCGAAAGAGCTCTCTCAGCCCCACCTACCTCACAAGGTGTCTATTGTGAGGAGGGGAAGCGAAAGGAGATTGTAAGCCACTATGAGACTCCTTTAGGTAGTGAAGGGCGGGGTATAAATCCAATCTCTTATCTTCTTCTTCTATGGCTAAACTAAAAGTAGCAGTTATCTTACAAAGGAATTTCAAAGGGAGATTAGAAAGAGAGACTGCTGAATTGCAACTGATAAGAACATAAGAACATAAGAGATGCCAATGTTGGATCAGGCCAAAGGCCCATCCAGTCCAACACTCTGTATCACACAGTGGCCAGAAATACCAGTGCCATCAGGAGGTCCACCAGTGGGGCCAGGACATTAGAAGCCCTCCCACTGTTGACCCCCCCAAGCACCAAGATGACAGAGCATCACTTGCCCCAGAGTCCCTATCTATACCTTGTGGCTAATAGCCACTGATGGACTGATAAGGAAGCTCAAGACAATGCATCCACCTGGACTGAATCAAGACCTAGGTTTCCTGTCTCACTAATGCTGATTTCTCCATGCCTACTGCCTCTCTACATATCACACCTAATCCAATCATACTTGTTATTGTCATTTGCCTGCTATGTCATTTTGCATCTGAAATCACTCCTATTTCCACTATATAGGACAGATGGACTCACATTCCAATCAAATACAGTTATCTTGATATACGATTATACAACTATGTGTAACAGGTTTTCTGAATTTCCAACTTTCATTTTGAAAAAAGAAAATCTGTACCCCCTTTGGTTGCAGAGATATAAGGGGAAAGGTTGCAATAGAAGGGGACAGAGATTTACTTTTTTTAATGAAAGCTGGAAATTCAAATAACCTATTATACATATTGGTATAACGGTATATCAGTACAGTAACATTCCATTGCCAATTTAAAATTTAAAAGCCCCAGTGCCCTGGGGGAATGGAGACACCCAATGCTGGGGACTAGGACAGGGAAACTGTGAGGAAATCTGCCAGATGGAAGCCCCGTTGCCACAGTATTGTATCAGCAACTGCACCAGCAATGGGGGAAACTGCACAAGCCTGTCCCCATGTGGAAACCACCAGAGTAATAGCTGAGATGGGTGTGTGAAGGGGGCAGGCAGAGGGAGAGCAGGCAAGGAGCCATGGCTGAGACTCACAGGAGCTGTGGGCAGGCAGGGATGATGAACGGGTAGGCAAAAGACTAAACACACTGGGGTAGTATTTTTATTGAAGCATCACATGCTTCTGTCAACAGCTGGGAAGTTCAGATTACTCTATGTTTCAGTGGATTAGAAACGTTTTTCATCCTACTCACATAAAATACACAGCTAGTGTCCCTCGAGGGAAAAGTTTATTTCCCACACACTACAAATAAAATTTCCCAGAGACCTTTACATGCTCAGCACTACATCCCCACAGTAAATCTCCCTTGGGACACACAAAATGCCTGTCCTGTCTGAGGAACTACAATGGATGTGCGCACTTCTTCACCACTCCCATGTATCATGAGCTCATCCTTGTTACAGCCTGATTTACCAGATAAGCTGCTCCACGTCCGGTTGATGTCCCGCAGGGCCTGCTTCTCAGAGATGGCTCGCTTTATTTCATCTAGGACTAGGTTCAGCTCCTTGGACCGCTTGAGGCTCTCCTGTTCTGCAGCATGCAAGCGGTCTCTTAGTGCTAGGAACTCTCGCTGATAGATATCCACAACATCACCTGCAGAAAAGAGAAAATGCTGTATCCTTTTCTTCTGCTGCAAGAGGGTTTAATTCTGAATTCCAACATTTTCTCAAAGGGGATGGGGAAGGAAGGGATAAGGAGAGAACAGCCTGCTCCACTAGCTAATTTGGAAGAGGGGGAAAACCCTTTGAATTTAACAAGATGCATATTAACTCAAAGCAATGTGTGCTTGCAGCAAGCAGGTCTTCCACCACTTTTAAATATTTAAATGTTCACACCCGTATCATGATTTATGCCCTTTGGGCATGAGGTCTGAAAATACAGATAAATTTAGAAGTAGCCAGAAGCAAAGTCACAGTTAAATGGTTTACATATAAACTGGTTTCCTTTGAAAGTCACCTTGAGATGGAAGCTTGTTGGATACGAAACGGAATTGCTCATTTTGTTAAGACAATTCCTGTTAAAGGGAAGCAGTGGTTGAATGTGTCCTGCTTCATAGCAACTATAGAGAGAGTCAGTATGATATAATGTTGCACTAACAGAGGCAAGACTCAGGTTCAAATCACCATTCTTCTACAAAGCTCACTGGGTGACCTTGGACCAGTTACTCCCTTTCAGCTAACCTACCTCGCAGGATTGTTGTGAGGATAAAATGTTAAAGGGGAGAACCATATACGCTGTCCTGAACTCCTTGGAGGAAGAGCTGAATAAAATATGAGCATAAGAAAGTAACATGCCTTGGAGGAAGAGCTGAATAAAATATGATACAGCATAAGAAAGTAACACGTCAAATTGTATACGATCGGGGGGAAAGCATATTAATAAGCCCCATTCGATAATAACCAAGAGATTAAGTGACAGGATGAATACTGATTTTTGTAATCTGTGAACATTTCAATAACTGCAAGTGAAATCACTGCCACAATGTTTATAGCCAGCGGTATCTAACCATAAACAAAGTGTATCCAACCTTTTGGAGCTTGCAGGCACCTCTGGACTTTGAGAGAGGGTGGTGAGACTGAGCCACCACACAATGGCCTCTGCAAGAGTCTGAGGCAGACCCAAAATGGCTGCTGCAGAAAGGCTGAACCGAGTATCTTCCTCCACATGCCTCCTGGGAAGAAGGAAAGCAAGAAAGGGGGAGAACAGAGCCATACAGTGACTCTCCAGAAGTTGCTTCCTCCCCGCCTCTCCCCACCCCTGCCTGCCTGGAGCCAGGGAGGGCCTTGGCGGGGCTTCCTCACACTCCCGCCGGCCTTGCAGGTCCACCGCCGGGCCCCTGATGTCAGGGGGTGTGGCATATGCTAATGAGTTATGCTAATGAGTTCCCCTAGCTCTTTTTCTACGAAACGACCCCTGGAGGGTGGTGAGACTGAGCCACCACATAATGGCCTCTGCAAGAGGATGAGCCAGACCCAAAATGGCTGCTGCAGAAAGGCTGAACCGAGTATCTTCCTCCACATGCCTCCTGGGAAGAAGGAAAGCAAGAAAGGGGGAGAACAGAGCCATACAGTGACTCTCCAGGGGAAACCCCTTTCATGTGAATGAGGGCAGCCATTAACATGTCCTGCCTTACAATGGCCCGAATCATTTTCTGAAAGGCTCAGTGGGCACCAAGGGAGGTACTGGCGGGCACCATGGTGCCTACAGATGCAACATTGGGGAACCCTGCCATACACTGTATTTGTGCACAGACATAGCCACATATATGTTTACCGATTTCAACTGTATTGATTAATGTGTTGAGACCAGTATTAGTGAAGTTGCACCCAGGCTATAAAAGTCTCAGGATTTTCATAAAAATTGTTTAGAAACACAGTAACCCATTTGACATTTCCAGTTTCTCAACAGCTAAGAATAAGGTAGTAAACTAGAGAAGAGGGGACACTTACTTCACCTTCATGAAGAAATGCATTCCATTTTTTTTTAAAGCCTGTATCAGAGAACTCCTCATACACTACTGTTTGCCCTCATTCATTCTGCCTTGCCTCTACAGGTTTGGCAATTAGAAGAAACTGCAAAACGTGGGAGCGGGATATAGTGTAGTGCTATATTTCAAACAAGGGCTGACCCCTCCCGCCTGCCACTACCACAAAGTTTCACTAGATCCCAAACATTCAAATTAAGATTTTGCTATGCAAAGTAATTTTATTGTTATTACTATGGCAATTGGTAGTCCTTATGCCAGCCATCAGAACAGACACAAAAATAGCCGACCCAAACCACCAAAGGAACCCCCCTCCCAAATATCCATCCTATTGTCCACAGTCCTGATAATACTCCGTACAAACTGGAGTCCAAAATTCCAGCAGTGAATAATCTAGTGAGAAGGAAGAACAGCCAAAGGGTCAAATTAAAATGCCTGTCCAAAGGCTCTGTTATAAAAAACACTAGTCTGAAGACAGAAGACCCAGGTTTCCTGCCACCATCACCATCTACTACCACCCATGGCAGGCTAGGGGAATTCTGAAAGTCAGATCAGCAAGATACCTCCCCAGCTGCGTCCAAAGTACCAGCTGCTTCAAAAACAGACCTGCATGAATAATTAAGGAAAGGATACAAGACCTCAGATTGTCCCCTTCAACAGATGGCAAAAGGCAGCTCTTGGGAAAACAAAACCAATGGATGGAGCAAGCATTTAACTAGCCATTGCCCTGAGTGTCCTATCTGTAAGCCTCACTTCTGATTAGCTCGAAGTACACTGCAGGCAAAGTCAAACTCTCATTATTTTCAGCAGG